CATTATCATAGCTCACAGCAACCTCAAACTCTTAGGCTGAAGTGATCCTTCTGCCTCAGCTTCCCAAGTAGCTGGGACGACAGGTGCCTGCCATGATACCTGGCTAATTTTTCTATTATTGGTAGAGATGAGGTCTCTCTCTTGCTCAGACTGGTCTCAAACTCCTGAGCTCAAGCAATCCACCCACCTCGGCCTCCCAGAGTTGCTAGGATTACAAGTAGAAGCCACTTTGCCTGGCTTTCTGAGACTCTAATTCTAACAAGCTTCCAGGTGATCCCAGTGCTATTGTCCCAGGCACACACATTGAGAAGCAAGGTCCTCAAGTGCACTGCCACCTGATCATCTATTGACTCCTCCCCTCATACTTGGGATCTCCGGCCCTATCTTGTTTGCCATTCTTGGGCACAGTAGCTTCTGCTAACTGGATGCCCACTGGTGGCTGTGCGCTAACCAGATATACCCACAGCACTGGCCAAATTCTTCTCCCTGCTCTCGTTCTACCTTCCTCGCGCCTCTGTCTCAGGCCAGGAAGTAACAATAGCTTAAGGCAAACAGCAGCAGCAAATCTCAAGAGGCAGCTGAGCACATCACCAAATGAGCGAGGGAGGTAGAGCGCTGGGCCTGCCGATTCCCGGGGTGCCAGGATGGGGGCTGAGGTGGCTCTCCAGTCAGTTCACCTTCCCATTTTCATGGTACACGAACAGGTTCCTGGTGTGTCCCTCTTTCCTGTAGGTGATCTGCAGCCCGTGGGGGTGCCCTATCTTCTCTGTCTGGAAGGTGGCATTCAAGTCCTTGATGCTAATGATGGCTTTCGGGTCTTTACCCTGAAAGAGAGAGGACATTCAAGATGCTTATAGTCAGTAGGATGACTTCTAGGGAACCTTCGCCAAGGTTTAATGCAAACAAAACCAATTTGTAATTTTGTATATTCTTGCTTTTATAGCAAAATGCACTGGCCAGGTGCAGAGGCTCATGCCTGTAATCTTAGCACTTTGGAAGGCTGAGGCAGGAGGATCCATTGAGCCCAGAAGTTTGAGGTTG